TTGTTGTGGTTGTTGTTGTGGTTGTTGTTGTGGTTGTTGTTGTTGTGATTGTTGTGATTGTGGTTGTTGGTGTTGTTGTTGTGGTTCTTGTTGTGGTTGTTGTGGTGGTTGTTGTGGTTGTTGTTGTGGTTGTTGTTGTGGTTGTTGTTTCCGCTAATTATTTATTTATTATATTCTCTCTCTCTCTCTCTCTCCAGCTCTTATATCATCGCCTGCAGCAAATCGGTGAGTTACCATTCACTCACCACACTCACCACTCACTCACCACTCACTCACACACTCACCACTCACTCACCACTCACTCACTACTCACCACACTCACTCACCATTCACTCACCACTCACTCACCACTCACTCACACACTCACTCACACACTCACTCACCACTCACTCACCACACTCACCGCTCACTCACCACTCACTCACCGCTCAATCACCATTCACTCACTCACACACTCACCACTCACCACACTCAACCACTCACTCACCACTCACTCATCACACTCACCACTCACTTACTACTCACTTACCACTCACTCACAATTCACTCACCACTCACTCACGACTCACCCACCCACTCACTCACCACTCACTCACCACACTCACCACTCACTCACCACTCACTCACCACTCACTCACCACACTCACTCACCACTCACTCACCACTCAATCACCATTCATTCACTCGCACACTCACCACTCACTCACCACACTCACCCACTCACTCACCACTCACCGCTCACTCACCATTCACTCACCACTCACTCACCGCTCACTCACCACTCACTCACCACTCACTCACTCACCACTCACTCACCCACCCACTCACCACTAACATTCACCACTCACTTACCACACTCACTCACCGCTCACTCACCATTCACTCACCACTCACTTACCACTCACTCACTCACACACACACCTCACTCACCACTCACTCACCACTCACTCACCATTCACTCACCACTCACTTACCACTCACTTACCACACTCACCACTCACTCACCACTCACTCACCACTCACTTACCACTCACTTACCACACTCCCCGCTCACTCACCACTCACTCACCAAACTCACCCAATCACTCCCCGTGTCTCCCCCCGTGTCTCCCCGTGTCTCTATTTGTCTCCCCCGTGTCTCCCCCGTGTCTCCCCCGTGTCTCCCCGTGTCTCCCCCGTGTCTCCCCCGTGTCTCCCCGTGTCTCCCCCGTGTCTCCCCGTGTCTCCCCCGTGTCTCCCCCGTGTCTCCCCGTGTCTCTCGTTGTCTCCCCGTGTCTCCCCGTGTCTCCCCGTGTCTCCCCCGTGTCTCCCCGTGTCTCCCCGTGTCTCCCCGTGTCTCTCGTTGTCTCCCCCGTGTCTCCCCCGTGTCTCCCCGTGTCTCCCCGTGTCTCTCGTTGTCTCCCCCGTGTCTCCCCCGTGTCTCTCCGTGTCTCCCCGTGTCTCCCCGTGTCTCTCTGTGTCTCCCCGTGTCTCCCCGTGTCTCTCGTTGTCTCCCCCGTGTCTCCCCCGTGTCTCCCCGTGTCTCCCCGTGTCTCCCCGTGTGTCTCTCCGTGTCTCCCCGTGTCTGTCTCCCCGTGTATCTGCGTGTCTCCCCGTGTCTCTCAGTCTCTCTCCGTGTCTCACCGTGTCTCCCCGTGTCTCCCCGTGTCTCTCGTTGTCTCCCCGTGTCTCTCGTTGTCTCCCCGTGTCTCCCCGTGTCTCCCCCGTGTCTCCCCGTGTCTCACCGTGTCTCCCCGTGTCTCCCCGTGTCTCCCCGTGTCTCTCCGTGTCTCTCGTTGTCTCCCCGTGTCTCCCCGTGTCTCCCCGTGTCTCTCCGTGTCTCTCCGTGTCTCTCGTTGTCTCCCCGTGTCTCTCGTTGTCTCCCCCGTGTCTCCCCGTGTCTCCCCGTGTCTCCCCCGTGTCTCCCCGTGTCTCCCCGTGTCTCCCCGTGTCTCCCCGTGTCTCTCGTTGTCTCCCCCGTGTCTCTCGTTGTCTCCCCCGTGTCTCCCCGTGTCTCCCCGTGTCTCCCCGTGTCTCTCCGTGTCTCTCCGTGTCTCTCGTTGTCTCCCCCGTGTCTCCCCGTGTCTCCCCGTGTCTCCCCGTGTCTCTCCGTGTCTCTCCGTGTCTCTCGTTGTCTCCCCGTGTCTCTCGTTGTCTCCCCGTGTCTCCCCGTGTCTCCCCGTGTCTCCCCCGTGTCTCCCCGTGTCTCCCCGTGTCTCCCCCGTGTCTCCCCGTGTCTCCCCGTGTCTCCCCGTGTCTCCCCCGTGTCTCCCCGTGTCTCCCCGTGTCTCCCCGTGTCTCCCCGTGTCTCTCGTTGTCTCCCCGTGTCTCCCCGTGTCTCCCCGTGTCTCTCCGTGTCTCCCCGTGTCTCCCCCGTGTCTCCCCGTGTCTCCCCGTGTCTCCCCGTGTCTCCCCCGTGTCTCCCCGTGTCTCCCCGTGTCTCTCGTTGTCTCCCCCGTGTCTCCCCCGTGTCTCCCCGTGTCTCCCCGTGTCTCCCCGTGTCTCCCCGTGTCTCCCCGTGTCTCACCGTGTCTCACCGTGTCTCCCCCGTGTCTCCCCGTGTCTCTCCGTGTCTCCCCGTGTCTCCCCGTGTCTCTCGTTGTCTCCCCGCGTCTCCCCGCGTCTCCCCCGTGTCTTGCCGTGTCTCACCTTGACCCCGTGACCCCGTGACCCCGTGACCCCAGGTTGGTGGGAGTGACCTCATCACTCGGACGGCGGTGTCCGTCCTGACCTCGCACAGCCCGGAGACCGTCCGGTGAGACACACACAGACACACGTACACACACAGGCACACACACAGACACACACACATACAGACACACACACAGACACATACACACAGACACACACAGACACACACACACACAGACACACACACAGACACACACACACAGACACACACACACACAGACACACACACATACACATACACACAGACACACAGACACACACACAGACACACAGACACACACACATACACACACACAGACACACACACATACAGACACACACACAGACACACACACATACACACACATACAACAACAACAACAACAACCGCCATTCGCCACTAAGTGGCGGTGACGTCACCACGACGCTTGTGCCAGGCTATGTGCACCGTGAGGCCACGTGAAGTGTCGAACGCCCGCTGGCAGGAGGTCACGGGGCAGACCCAGGTGCCACGGGTCGACCGACTGAGATGACTGGCTGATGCACCACCTGTGCCCCCTACTGTGCCAACCTGCTGTGCTTTAGCCACCCGGCGCTCCGCTCGCTGTTGTGAGCGTCGCTCCTCCGCCCTTCGTTGTTGTTGGAGGGCGACTGCCTCCAACTGCCCAGTAGCATCCTTCACGAGCCTCCTCCACAGAGGCCGATCTTGACACCGCTGGTACCAGTCATCGGCAAGTCCACTCAGCTCCACGTCCTCCTGTACCACATCACTCCATCTCTTCTCTAGCCCGTGCCGCGCCCGCTTAGCCCCCTCAATCCGGCCAAACAAAAGCTGTTTCGGCATGCGGTGGCTGGGCATGCGGGCTACATGACCCAGCCATCGCAGCCTTGCCTGCCGGAGGAGCTCACCGATGGGACCCTGCCCAGATCTTTCAAGGATTTGTGAGCTCCTCACACAATCCAGTCTGGTTAAACCCAGGATGGATCGTAGGCAGGCCAGCCTAAATGTTTCCAACCGGCGAAGATGCTCCACCAGGGGGGTCCACGTTTCGCAAGCGTAGAGAAGGGAGGGAATGACCGTGGCCGAGAAGACCTGAAGCTTAGTGCGGAGCGACAGACCAGGTAGCTTCCACACAGCGTTACGCAACCGATGAAAAGATATTGCCGCTCGACTGATTCGGAGTGAGACCTCTGCTGTTAAACTGGAGCCAGTCATAAGCACACTGCCCAGGTATGGGAAACTCTCCACTCTCTCCACAACTGCCCCATCACCGATTGGGAGTTGTGGGGGTGGAGTGTCCGATGGTACAAAATACCCAGGCAGGTGCTTAGTTTTGGTGGGGCTGATGGTAAGGCCCCACCTCTTAGTGGCACGCTCCAGTCTCAGCAGCAGCGTCTCCAACTCCTCCTCTGACTGAGCAGCTATTACCAAGTCATCAGCATACATAACGTGGTTGAGCAATAGGGAGCCATCCCTTGACCGCACCCGGGCATCGATTAGCCTCCCATTATATCTGTACCATATGGAGATTCCCCCGGTACAGCTATTGAAGGCTTCACGAACTACGTGGTCAAAATAGATGTTAAATAATGTGGGAGCCAGAGGACATCCCTGTCGCACCCCAAGGTGTACAGGGAATGGCTCTGACTCCCGGCCACGTAGTTTTACCCGGGCCCGCTCACCATCATGAAGGTCCTTAATGATCGTGAGCAGAGGGTCAGGTACTCCAAAAGCACGAAGAACGACCCAGAGCCCAGGCCTACTGATGGTATCATAGGCCTTGACCAGGTCAATAAAGCAGAGATGTAGGTCTTGTTGGAATTCCCTACACCTCTGCTGTAGCAGACGGACAGAAAATATGGCATCTGTGCAGGACCGCCCTTTCCTGAAACCGCATTGGGGCTCCGCAAGCCTCTCCTCAGCGTGCCTGGCAAGGCGATGCTGAATAATCCTTGCCAGGACCTTTCCCGGCACACTGAGGAGTGAGATGCCCCTGTAGTTGTTACAGTCTGTGCGGTCCCCCTTCTTAAAAAGGGGGACCACCAGGGCATCCTTCCAATCCTGCGGAACCCGTCCAGTGGTCCAGACTGTTGTTATGATGTCATATAGGGCAGTCTGTGCACAAACGCCACCCTCCCTCAGCATTTCGCTTGGGAGATCATCTCTGCCCGCTGCCTTTCCTGGTCTCAGACTCCGGATCGCCTTCAATACTTCCTCAGCAGATGGCACCTCAGCCAGCCACTCACAGGGGATGACTTCATCCAATATTTGAGGCACCGCAGCCTCAGCAGGGTCATCCTCACTTTGTGCCACGATGTTTTCCTGGCTGTGGGATTTTCCCTCCCCCAGG